ACCCACGGCTAGATAACTGCCACCTATACTCTTGCGCAGCGGAAGCGTGCTGGGCCCATAACCCTGTCGCGTATTCCACGCGGCGTTTTCAGCAAAGCACTAAGAGTTCCAGGTTTTTCAGTGCAGTCCTTTTTAATGTGAGTTATATGCAGGCATTACAAAAGAAACAGTCCATACAGAGTACTTACAAACGAATACTCTCCACCACAGCACCACCACACTACAGCACAACCACCACACTACTGTTAAACAGGCTTTCCTTTTTAAAACAGGTGATAGCCAATTACAATAATCACACTCCTGCTGAGTCACTCTGACCCAGCAGAGTATTGCATCATCCTGTTGAAGCCTGCAGACTTATCCAGTATCCTGCGAATCCCAACATGAACTGCGTAGGATTAAAGAGCAATTATTACACTCCATGACTTGGAACCATGGATCTATCAATTCAGCCTAAAAGCACATTAGCCATTTTTGCAGCTGTATCCCTCTGCTGACTCGTGTTCAGTTAGTGATTGACTGCAGCTCCGAGATCATTGCCACAATTGCACACTTGTGTTCCACTGTTTGGGGAGAGGGATTTACATAGCGCCAAAGCTGTGTGTGCTCATTCTCAGTCCTTGGATTTTTTTGACTTAAGTGCACCTTGCAGGTGAAGGTGGGGCTGAAAGGTAATTGCTTGCCACATCATCAATCTGCAGTATGGTCCGGTATTTTTGTTATTGCCATATTGCAATTGGAGTGTGCCAGGAGTTCCTTGCAACAGCTGTGCACCATAGCCATCAATTTATTCTAGTCACAGCCCACCCACAGTACAGATCTCAAGGTATTTCCCATCTTCAGGTCAAATCAGGTATCCCACCCATATAACTCCTGTGCTTCTGGAAACCCGCCTTGCCTAGAAGTTCAGGCTCCACTTCTGGTTGGAAAGAGAACTCGTGGAGAAGTGCAGCAAAGGAATGGTGTCACAGCAACCACTTCTCAGCGGCACCCACTGTCCATAAGGCTGGTGACACTGCTGCCAAGCACGTCTCTGCCGCCTGTGGATCCACTGCATCCTCATGCCTACGGACATGTAGCAAGTACCAGCAGCCAATCATGGCACAAGTGACAGCGCAAGTGGAATGGAAGGGGGCTTTGCACAATTGCCTAGGAAACATGTTTCTTTCCCTGCCCTCACTGCAACACTCGAGCATCAGCACACGAATACACACAAACCAATATGCAGACTGATTTGGAGCTCTTGGAGAAAGAGAAAGAGATTTTCCCAAGCATTCTCAGGCTACACTTGTAATTAGAATCATAGAATTCTAGGATGGTAGAGTTGGAAGAGATCCTGAGGATCATGTTGTCCAACCCCGTGCAGTGCAGGAAATGGATGAGTCAATTGTCCTTTGAATTGATCCATCACTACTAGGATTGGACCACACATTTGTTTCCTCTCATTTGGCCATAATTCTCTGCAAAAACCTGTCCAGTAAATTCACTGGACAGTTAAGCAAAGCACTGAACTCCATGTCTGAGCCCTGGCCATGAGATGCAACTTAGGGCTTATCCACACTTACCTTGCTTAGCATTTCTAGGCACATATCCAGGCTTTCTGGGTCAGTATCACATTCTCCCTTTTCCCCATGAAAACCTGCTCTTTACCACTCAATCAGAACAAATGGCAATCTGCAGAAAACTCAAATTGCCATTTGCTCCAATACAATGGTAAAGGTTGGGTTTTCCATGGCAAAAAAAGAGAGAAAAGTGTGGACACACACTGGGAAAGTGCAGACCTGTGCCTAGAAAGCACAGGGCAAAAAGTACATGTGGATGGATAAGCCATAAGCATAAATATGGGACTTGGCTGTTGTTAGCAGGCCACATGTGGGAAGTGGTTTTGCTACCTGCATCTGCTTTATACTGGGTGAATCGGTACACATACCTATATTCCCACTTATAATTGCATAAAGCCTTAACAGTAGGCTTGGTCTCATATCCCCAGATGAATCTAGATGTGATAATGGAGATGTGTGAATGACTCTCCATATTTTAAAACGGCATGTGTTGGATCTGGATTCAGGACAGTGGTGTGGGGTTAACTCTTTTTTTCAATGAAAATCAGACTTCTAGGTCTGCTATTTACCCCCAGTTTAGGGAGGGGGGTGTGTACAAATATGTTTTTCCTGCTCAAGTAAACAGCAACTTTAGGAGGATCGTTTATCTTCTTTGGGGGCAGGGAGCACAATAGTGCAATGGGAAAGGGCTAAGCATACCAGCACCACTGTTGTAATCTGGGTTCTCTCAACCACAGCTGCTACTTGCACAATGTTGTTAAAGTAAGGTTATCAGACATCCCTGTTTCCCGGGGACAGTCCCCGGATTTACAAATCAGTCCCCAAAGAAAATCTACTGAAGTTGAAAAGTGTCCCTGGATTCATTGAAAAAAAATCTGGTAACCTTATTTTAAAGACTGAGACGCACCCAAGTATCTGCATGGTCACGCCTTGTAGAGTCATGAACTTCAGAGAATGAGACTTCCCAGGGATAAAAGTCAATGAACTATGGCGTTGTTTCATGCTCTGGCATAGCCAGAGCAGCAGGTGGCACTGCAGGAAAGCAAAAAAGGCTGTTCCAAGTGGTTGGCATATCCTTTTCTTGGAACTCCAGAGCCTCCTGCCTGCTCTATGTTTAGTTCCCATGTATGCAGCTGGGATCAGCTGTTTGCTAACTATATGCTCAGCATTATTGGTCATGGCTTATCAGAGGCCTTGCAGAAGGGCTGATGTGGCAGGAACAGGAAGTATTTCCTTTTCAGACAAAGGTTCCTCTTGAGAGATTAAAACATTTTTTTACAGAGGTGCTGGCAAACGGGAAGATGATATGTGATTATTTTAATTCTTAAACAAAAGGCATCACTGAACCCGGAGTACAGGGTGAGGCAAGGCAATATGATGGAGTATATTATACTACTAGGGAAACCAAAACGATGTTACAGTGCTGAACCCAAACTATATTTCTCTCTAGCATGGGTTTCATGGGTGTTGTTAAGAGGGTGGAGCAGGAAGCAAAAAGGGACTTTTTGCCTTGGACTCACATTCCCCTCCTCCTTGAGAGATTCTCACGTTGATTATACATTCTGGTGTCTGATCTGAGGGCTGGAGGAAATGTGGGCCAGCCAGGAAAGGGGTGAAGAGGCCATGCTCTTGCTTACGGAAGTGCTTGTCACACAGATGGCATGCTAGGGTCTGGGCAGAGCACTCTGGGAAGTGGTGCTTTTCCAGGGACTTGTCTAGCAGGACTTGTCACTTGGCTTCAATGTAGCCAGAAGTCACACGCCCAAGTCAGGTGTACAAGCATGGTTTTATAAGAACAGAATTCAAAAGAAGAGCTAACCACCAGGGCAGGCCCACCCATGAGGCAATGTGAGGTGATTGTTTCAGTCGGCAGGATCCACTGGGGCAGCAAATCCCAATGTTGATACGTATTTCTTTCCCCCTTGTTTCTGATGTAGATCTTCCCACACCCCTTCTTCCCTGGCGGGGAGAAGGGGAGCCATTTTGAGTGCCGCTTCAGGTGCCAAAATGTCTTGAGCAAGCCCTGCTAACCACACAATTCTTTCCTCAAAAAGCCTACCCGCAACTGGCCAGCACAGGAACCCATGCATATACTGTCACTTTGATAAAAAAAGCAACCAGTAAATTTAATTTATAAATAAAACAAACAAAATGCAAACATTGCACTAGTATCTTGCACACTGCTCAGTCTTGTGGATATTCTTTCTGATCTAATTTGCTGAATCCAGAAGATCAGAGGCCTTACTCTGTGTAAATATGGGTGAAGCTGAGTGTGAACATTAGAATGAACTCTAAAAAATGAAGGTCCAAGGCTCCAAGCTGAGTCTTAAGACAGCAGAGGCAACAGCATGCAAGGGCTAGACAGGAGCATACTGTCCTCATAACCATGGGCACCAAAATAAAATTTAATTTTTAAACTGCGCAAGTCTAGGCCAAGAACAGGAAAAAAGGACAGGCTGATAGGGGCACCCACACTTTCCTTCCTGAGCAATTTCAACTGCATCTCTCTCAAGTCCCACAGAACCACCAGAGGAGCAGGCATGTATCTGGATGTCTGACACACAGAAGGTATGAATGACATAGATTTCTGGGGCTAGCCATATTTGGGTTTTTGGTGTTCTGAACAGCAAATAACAGGACCGGTCCTACCATTAGGCAGAGTGAGGTAAGTGTTTTGGGTGGCAAATACTGGGAGGGAGTAGGGGGCACCCTACATTTGTTTCTCCTCAGCCTCCTGATCATACCCTTCTGTTGGAGCTGTGTTTGCCATTTGGTCTGTCCTGAGCCCCCAGAACTAGCCTGTTGCCCTCAGGAACAGTGCAGGATACTAACCCATTGCCCATACTGAAATAAGACTTAATCACTAGTCCAGCTGACTTCCAAACATGGAATGTTGGGTTTATATTCTTGGCCTTTGCTCCAGGCAGCAAAATGTATTGAGCCAGAGTTCCTGGGGCTGATGAGCAGCATGGGAGCAATAGCACCAGCAAAAAAGATTCCCTAGCACTCAGCACAAAGGGATACTGAACTCTGCAAAGCCCTAAAGGACCTACCCAGAACTAGGATGTCAAGGGGTTGTGTAGGAAGGAGGGCTGGAATATAGTTTGCAGGATGAGGTGGAAGGCTAAGGATGAGAGCAGCCAGAAGATATCCTTGAGGAGGACACCTAGGTCCCCCAATGGATCAGGTGATTCCCTTTTGAATCCTTGGGATGTGCAGATTCCTTAGAATGTCAGTCATTGAGGGTGTGGTGTTGCACACAGGGGCAAATGGTGCCCTTATCGAATAGCTGACCCCTTCATCTTTCCCTTGGGACAGCACTGCCACATGTCTGAGTGTTCTCTAATATGTAAACTTAGGGGCTTCCTGAAAGGGTTCCAAGAATAGCTGACACATGCAGGATTAATCTGACCCATGGATCTTCTCTTCGCTTTGCAGATGTGGGCAAATGGCACGTATCCCCTAGGCGAGGCCTTCCCTAATCATTCAGTCTCTTTGCAGTGTGCTGCTGAAGCCCAGTTCCAGCACCTGCTCCTGCCCATCACATACAGCCTGGTTTGCGCCCTGAGCTTGGCCTCCAACACTGTAGCCTTGTGGAGCAGCTGGGCCACCCGGGCCCAGGCACCCCCAATCATGATTTTCACCTACAACCTCATCGTCATCGACCTGCTGTTTGCCCTGTCGCTGCCATTACAGGCTGTCTACCACGCCAGGCGCAACGACTGGCCCTTTGGCGAAGGCCTGTGCAAGGCCACCAACGCCCTCTTTCTGGCCAACATGTTCAGCTGCACGCTTTTCCTGGCCTGCATTTGCCTGGAGCGCTACCTGGCCGTCATCCACCCCATCCTCTACCTGCGCCTGCGGTGGCCCCTCTACCGTGTGCTGATCTCTATGGCTATCTGGTCCGTGGTAGGGATCGGGCTGCTGACCCTCTTCTCCAAGAGCACCGTGACCCATCGCTTCCCCAATGGGAACACAGCCTGCATGGAGCACTTCCCAGCTCGTGTCTGGAGCGGAGGCCTGGCCGCCATGGTTTTGGCCTCCTCAGTGCTGGGCTTCTTCCTGCCTTTCCTCACCATCGTCATCTGCTCCGTCGTGATTGCCCGGCGCATCGTGAACCTGAGACATGGCTCAGCCCAAGGTTCTTTGCTGCGGAGGAACCCGCTGCACACCCTCCTGATGGTGACCACCCTGCTCACCGTCTGCTTCCTGCCCTTCCATATCATCCACATTCTGCACACACTGGGCCGGATTGGGGTTCTGCCTGCTCCGCAGCTGCTGCGCTTCACTTGTTCAGCCCAGCGGGCTGCCATGGCCCTGGCCAGCATCAACAGTGCTCTTGACCCTCTGGTATACTACTTCAACATGAAGCCTGCCAACTGGAGGCTGCCCTGCTGTGGCGCAAGCAGCCAGAACCTCGTGGATTCAGGCAATCTTGCGGCAGCGGGCCTCAGGAGCATGAGCTAGCTGGAGGTCCTACCTAGGATCCACAGCATTGTCCAACTTCTTGTGGAGCGCTCAACACCAGCACCATCAGATGATATTGCCCATTGCCTTTTGAAGAACATCAACTACTAGAATGGCCTCCTGGTTTGAATAAGGCAAAATGATAAAATAATCATAATGACAAGACATCCTAAGCTGGTTGGAGTTTTTTTTTTTGGGGGGGGGGGGTTCAGTGGCAGATGGTATGCCTATAATTTGGATGTGGCTGTTCCAAGCCAAGTTATGGGGGAATGAGTTAGAATATTAGCAGAGTTCAAAGACTGAATCAGGTCTGTAGCCAGAGAGACAATCCAAAGGCAATGGAAGCAGGAACAGCACCAGAAAGAAGTGCAAGCAGACTGGGAGCCCAGACAGCGGTGTGATTTGGGAAGCAACGCAGAAGTGTGCTTCTTGAAGAGATAAAGGGTAAAAGAGGTGTTTGGCAGGCAGGAATCAGAAATCAGGGGAAATAATAATAATAATAATAATAATAATAATAATAATAATAATTACTTATACCCTGCCCACTCTGGGCGGCTCCTAACAATATTAAAAAGATGATAAAACTTCAGACATCAATAACTTCCCTAAACAGGGCTGCCTTCAGATGAAACAGCATGTAATGGAGTTCATCAGGTCCTTGCAAAATTTGTTTGGCTAAGTGGAATAAATTCCTGCTCAAAATCAGGAGGACCTGAGGTAGAAATAGGTAAGCCCTTCTGAGGCTGGTCTGGAAATTATATTGAGGTACAATTTGCTGGATGTCCACTGGGACATGAAGAACCTTAGTGCAAACCTTAATCCCTGTGCACTGCTGTACATATGTGGTACATTCAAAGAAGCTGGGAGCCATAGGAAGTCATTCACCCCATGGTTCCCAGCTTTCCTTGAAACACTGTAAACAAGTAGCAACAGCTTGGGCTCTCAGAAACCACTGTGGTATACCTGGCCCAAATGGAATTGTCCACCTCTGCAACCTATAGGGTTTGTCCTGACTGTGTTAAATTAGAAAACTTCTAAGTTTTCTCTGTGATTACTGTGAATGGATCTACAGCACTTTGTTTTGCCAAAAGTTACTTAGGCTGTGATCCTGTATTCACTGAAGAGTAAGCCCCATTGAAATTAATAGACTTAGTTTTTGGTAGACGGTTTTAAGATTGTACCATTGGGGTAGGAATTGGGGATTGAGCAAATGAACCTGATGACTGGATGTTTCTTGAATCAACAGTTCACCTGCAGGTCTGTTATGAGGAGGGGTTGGCATATTTTGTGTAAGTATGAGAAACAGCAGATTTGAAGCTGGGGAGACAGAGGGAGTGGTGGCCTGGCAAACACCAGAAACTCTCTGATGCGGAGGGGGAAACTTCTTCCTTATGTGAGTGCCTGTTTGTCTCCACTTATGCGCCACTTTTGTATTAGTAAATAAAGCAAATATTTTAAAGACAATAAAAGATTCCTGTGCTTTCTGCGTGGCTCTGGGGGCTTCTCACTGCTTCGGAAAGTGGGGAGATGACAATGATACCAACAGGAGCCCCAAAGACACACCCCTTCTTTGAACCTGCATACTACCACTTCCACTTTTGCATGTGCCCTCTTTACCTCTTCTTGTTTTGCACACAAAATAGTCTTTCATTCATTCATTCTCACCTTTCCATACATAACATCTCAAAGGCTACAGTTCTGAACAGGTATACCTGCAAATCCTGTGTGCAATTAAGATCCTGTGTGCAATTACTGAGAAGTAAATTCCACTGTTAGATAAATACAGAATTACAATTGCTTCAGTAGGCAGAAAAATAATTCAGTGGACCGCCCAGAACCTCAGCAATTTCTAAGTGGCCCATTGGAGGAAGAGAAAAGTATGGGAACCACTGAACAAGAAAAATTAAAGACAATAAACTCCTACACAGCAGTGGAAACATGCCATATAATTTAAACTTTTTTAAAAAAAAAAAGCTTGCATCCCATTCTGTGCAGGCTATGAGGGTGATTCATCCCATGTTTAGTAGCTGTGATGCTCTAAGGAGGTTCCTGCACCCTTGCACGCTCCATGATAGACGGCTATACAATAGATGGTGGTGTCCCTACGTATGTCTACTTAGAAGTAAACCTCAGTGAGTTTAATGGATGGTTCTGTATGCTTTTATAAGGTTATCTCCAAGCATCCCCTCATCCCCAGGGACTGGGTACTTTCAAAACAAATATGCAGCTCCAGCCAGATTGAGTAAATAATGAAGAATCACCCACAGAAAGCTCACAGCTTTCGAGTCACTACAGATTTTGCATGAGCAGGGCAAAAGGAAGGGTCAAAGGATCACATGTTCCTGACTATGTACCCTTGAAATATGCTGGATGAAGCTGGTTGTTTTGCTAAGTTACAAAACCAGGCGATCAGCTGAGAGCAAGACCCCAGTGGGAAGATGTTGCTGCTGCAAACAAGGCATCTGTGATGTTTAGTGGAAAGAGCTCAGAGGCTGGAGCCCTTGCTGACTGATTGCAGCACCACTGTTTGTATCCAAAACAGCTGCAGCCAGAGTGAACCTGTCAGACCTGTCCACATTGCACTGCTTATTTTGTATTAAAGGCCCATCAAGTCTGAAAGGTAGCTAAAAGCCCATTATGCTTGGAAGATGGGGAAGTATGGCGAGTTCCTGTTCTTTCCCCCCAAATGTGCCCCACTCCCACAAAATGCTCACTGTCCCTACAAAAGCATGATGTGAATGAAAGATCACCACAACAAACAAGTAGCTATTGAGCATCTTTTATATGAAAAGGCCAATCAACCTCTAGTATCCTCAATAATGCTCAGTTCTCACCAACAAGCCCTGCATGTGTTACCGTACTTTGGAGAGATCTGTAGAGATGCAAAGATTGCAAGAGAGAGAACTCTTGCTGTTCAAGTGGGGGTTTAATAAGAACTGAAGAATGTCCCCAAATGCTCTTTTAATGGGTTCAGGGCCATTCCTCTTTGCCTTCCTGATGCAACACCACCAACTGGTACTGCTCTTCTTTTAATAGATATTCTATTATATATGGTACTTTTGTATTTAATTGTTCTTGTAAACCGCTTTGGGATTCCTTCTGGTTCTGTGAAGTGATATATAAATCTACTAAACTAATTAGCCACAGAGGAGGAAACACATTCAGGCATGATATGGCTAGATGGGGTAAAGGCCAAGGAGAGAGTGAGCCAGATAAAATCTTTGGCCAATGTAACTTCCACAGTGATGTCCCCTTCAGTAACTGAAATTTCAGCAGACCCACTTGCAAGCTTTCCTTTGCAATAGTATGTTTTTCTCCACCCCACCCCCTAGAAAAAAAGGCAATCAATTAATATTCTCACCATACTTGACATCTGGTTTTTGTGCTGGCTGAAGAGATGTTGTGGACACAGAAAACAGACACATGGGTCCGTTGGGGGGAGTCAAACATTTTTTAATTTTCTGGCTCCCAGCCCTATATGTACTTCTCTTTTAGTCTAGTCTAGTCTAGTAGTCTAGTGTTTGTTTCCATGCTACAATCCCTACACTGCTGATTAAATCCCACCCAAAGACCTTTGCTTTGAGCTGCATCGATCTGGGGCTGTTTGCTTTGCCTGAAGCAAAGGAACAAAGATCACCATTTTGTCCTTCCCTAGGTGCCGCCATGACATCCCTGCTGCTGCTGCTGCTGCTGATCTTTGTGGTTCTTATTCCAGGGCAACCATTCCGGGTGAGACTCCTGGGGCATCCATTTAACACCCATTTGATTTCTCTTTCCTCCCCACCCCCTGGCTTTTTGCTTAGGTCTCCCTCCTAGGCCCATGATAATTTATCCCCAAAATCTCATTCCCATTTTAACATTTCTACAGCTTGCCCAATAAGAGTGATAATACATTTGTCCCTGTGTCCCTATTTTCCAGGGACAGTCCCGGATTTACAGAGGCCATCCCGGTTTCTGATTTGATCTCATAATGTCCCACTTTTCCTTAAAGGTAAAGGTAAAGGTACCCCTGCCCATAGGGGCCAGTCTTGACAGACTCTAGGGTTGTGCGCCCATCTCAGTCAAGAGGCCAGGGGCCAGCGCTGTCCGGAGACACTTCCGGGTCACGTGGCCAGCGTGACGAAGCTGCTCTGGCGAGCCAGAGCCACACACGGAAACGCCGTTTACCTTCCCGCCAGTAAGCGGTCCCTATTTATCTACTTGCACCCGGGGGTGCTTTCGAACTGCTAGGTTGGCAGGCGCTGGGACCGACCAGCGGGAGCGCACCCCGCCACAGGGATTTGAACCGCTGACCTTTTGATCGGCAAGCCCTAGGCGCTGAGGCTTTTACCCACAGCGCCACCCGCGTCCCCACTTTTCCTTAGGATGTCCCTATTTTCATCAGAAAAATGCTGGAGGGTATGGTAGGGTGTCCCTTTTTTCATTAGCAAAATGTTGGAGGGTATGGAGTTATCCAACACCAGAGCCATCAGAAGGCAGTCCTGTATAGGGAAGTTTTTAAAATCTAATGTTGCATTATGTTTTTATATATGTTGGAAGCCACACAGAACGGCTGGGGCAATTCAGTCAGAGGGATGGGGGTATAAATAGTAAAATGATGATGGAATAGGACGTCCCAATTTTCATCAGAGAAATGTTGGAGGGTATGTGAGGGCCTCCAGCAAGGAAGTGAAGCAGGAGTTAGTCTTGGTTGGTAAACTATTCAGGGTGAGATAGGCTTCAGGAAGGGCCCAGAGTCATGGAGTCCAATGTGCAGTGCTAACACCCCACCACCACCTCAGATCCATCCTAATAGTTTGGGCCTAGCCCTCTGCATTTGTGGGGCTTGTGAGTTGCCACTGTCTGGACTGAGATGCAAAGGCCTAGGCAACTCAAGCACAGTGTGAGGAAGGAACTGTGATGCCTGATTCATTTCAGTGGCTTTTCTGGTGTATTGCTTTATTACACAACGAGTGCATAGCTGTTTCTCAATTGTTCCAGGGAACCCCAAATGCTCACCAGGTAGGAACTCTGCTTCCTCAGCACTCAGACCATTTTATCTTGTTGAGTGGGATATGTGGTTCACCCACCCACTGCTTGAAGTCAATTTGCGAAACCATGGGAGCTCTGTGAGTTAGTGGCAAGCAACACATTCCATTCCCTTCCCAATGCCTGCGCAAAATGATGTGAAAGATTTTAAGAGCTTCATGTTTATTTTTCTGGCTTTAGAGGACGAGCAGTCCCCCTTTACTGCTCCCAAGGGAGTCCCAGTGTAGCCATGGGGGGAGAGGGAAATCTCCCCTACACGTGCCCGCCCCAACCCTAAAATCTGGGAAACTTGTGCAAGGCTGCTTCCTCCCTCACAGAACTGCCTCAGCCATTTTTGCACTTTGTTGTTGTTGTTTAGTCGTTTAGTCGTGTCCGACTCTTCGTGACCCCATGGACCAGA